TATCCGTCCGTCCTCTCCCTCTTCTTCTGCTTTCGCCTCCTTTTCGACGCGCCGCATCGCTCTCCCTTCCCTTCCGTGTATCTACATCTACACATGGATACTTACGTGTATCTGCAATTAGATACTTCCTTACAGTTTCTCTTTAGATTGCTATTTTATCCTTTCACGATCACGCGCCAGGCTCGGAGATTCAATAGTACCACGATAACGGATACAACATCGGAGAAGGAGAAAATATAAGTTTTTTATTCGGATCGCGATATCTCGAGCGTAAAAAGAGGCACGAAGGATAATTAGATATTTTTCTGGTGATTCTGGAATTGTGCTGCGCGGATCTCCGCGCAGAAGGGGGCGAGCAAGGCACGGGCGAACAAAATACGAGGGTGACGAGATTGGCAGGGGTTGACATGCGGGTGAAATCCGTAATGTGACAGAGAGCGAACGGAGCCAGGGGACCGGACGGAGGGAACACTGTATGGTGGGTTGATGACATAATTGGTATCATTCGGGATCTTCTTTTGAGGTAACCCATGCCACATCCCCTACGATTTCCTAGACACGCACGCCTTCTCCATCTGCACGCGGTGACCGACTAACACCCTCTCGTTCCGATTCAATATCGTGATACATAAGTATCAGGGTACGGCGATCGCGAGGGTAAAAAAATCTATGCGATCGTTTAAAAGTTTGATCGACGTTTGTATACGAATTTATTGGCAATATATGCAGTGTTTAGACTTTTGTACGTACGACAATTTCTGTTGACAGTGGATTTTGACAAATTCGCGCAGATGAATGAATGTATGCATGTATGTACAGTGTACAATGAGTCGTGTTAAAACTGCGTTCTAATCGTCGCAGTATGCTTTCTGGAACGAAATCCTGTTGGACTGAAATTCATCTTGTCTTTATCACAATTGCTGCTGCAGACCATGCTCTCTCCGTCATCAAGCTGAAAGCAACACTTTTCCTGGAGACCGCTGCTTGCCCGAGACAGCCGATCGATCTCTTCCTCCATAAAATCATTATCCAAACTTGTTTCTGCTTTAGCGAGATCATTCGAATCCTTCGATTTGGCTTGCAACATCTCCTTCGAAAGCTCCGACGAACATTCCTTCACGACGACGTGATTTTCACTCAATTTCGATTTTTCTTCTGCGGAACTTTCTTCTCTTTCACCGCCACCTTCGCCTATCGATCGCCCGTGCTCAGAAGTTTCGACCAGGTCCGCTACTTCGTTCGCCAGCAGACTCGATTTCACCTTCGGCTTCGTGCGAGATCTGATCGCGTTTAACCGAGACGAATCGTCTTCTTGCTTCGCTTTCTGTCGCTGCGGAACGTCGGCTTTAAGATGGATCCTGTGGGATATAGGATTCCTGGATCTGAGACGATTGCCGATCCTCACCGGCAATCTGGAGCAACTGGATTCCTCCGATCTCGTCTTCTTCTCCGTTATCAAATACGCCCCCGTCGTCGGTAAAGTCTTCTCTGCCTCCGATTTATCCAGTTTTCGTTTCAAGCTCGCCACCGTCTTCTCGCAGATATTCATCACGTAGTTGCTATCCACTACTATCTTCTTCTTATTCTGCTCGTTGCTGGACTCGGATTTGGCTAGTAAACCACTGCTTCTCTTCAGATCGGATCGATTCTTACCGATCCATCCGAAATTAAGTCTGCTAGCAAGTTTGATTCGACTCTTCGATTCGCATTCGCTCTGTTCCTCGCAATCTGTATTCTCTTCGACGTTAGGATTTGAAGCGCGTGGACGTCGTTTAAGTTTTTCTGTCTGGTCAAGATTACCTTTCCTGCAGGCGGCTCCAGACCTTTGCGTAGAGCGAGCGAGTTCAGGGCGAACAGCGGAAAGCGGAGGAGTGGCATTGATCGATTCGTTGGTCACGGATCTTCTCTTCGGTCTTGGGTCGATGTCTTTGGACGGAGGAGCTCCTTGCTGGTGCGCATTGCTCTTCTCGATCGAGGGAATCTTACGCTTTTTATCGTTGCCATCGTCCAACGGGATAAAGTCCCAGAAATTGGTTCTCACCGTACACTTAGATATGTAATCCGGTTCATTATCGTCGATGACGGACTTGGGGTACGTGGACGTGCACGCGTAATGCAAGTCCGACAAGCTGTCCTTGTCCACTGCGCGATCCACGTATCGTTTGGATCCTTCGGTGAAGCAGCCAGTCTTTTCCGAAGGAACTCGCAAAGCGAAATTGTTCGGAAATATTTCTTGCGTATTCTCCGGCTGTTCTTCTTCGTAGAAGGGTTTGCTCTTTGAATACGTCTGGGTTCTTTTTCGTCGATCGCTAGGCGGTGAACAGGTTCTGGACCGAGTCCTGTTAGCAGCGCAACTTCTATCGTCCCAGTCTCTGGACACCTCGCTCGGCGTACACGAGCTACTTGCCGCTCTTTCATTTTTCGGATTGTACTTGGGGAACGTCTGCGACGTTTCGTCGAAAAACTTCTCGTGGTCGTTGAAATTGAAAAAGTTGCATCTTTGCCAGTGCTCGTTACGATTTCGGATCTCATTCCGGAGCGGATAGTTATCCTCGAGATAACGATGAATCTCATTGTTCCTGTCGAGGGTTGTCCGGGGATCGTTCGTATCTATCGTAGGATAGGTGAGATTTGTACACTTGGAACCATTCTTCGGTCCCAGATTCTTGTTTTCCGACCTCCTCGACCACGACGTTGGATAACGTTGATGCTCGTTTGGACTTCGACGTGGCAGTTCGCGATCGACGTAACGAACCGTACTCGGCTCGGTTCGGTAGGGATCCTCTACTCCGTCGTCGTCTCGCCTCCGACGATTCCCATTTGAACACGCCTCGGGCAACACTCGTACACCGGGTCTCGAGTCGTCCGATCTTCTTCTGTATCCCGTATCGTCGAAATCTTCGTACGCCGGCGAATGCTTCTGCCAGCACGACTAAATTAATTCGTAGAATGAGGAAAGACGCGTGCTTTGCTCATCGCGAAAAGTCAGATTCGATTTACCTGGCCGAGTCCGCCCTTTCTGGGAATGGAAACGAAGCAACACTCGTCGGTTTCCATTGCGTTTCGCTCGAATCTTTCGTAAGGTTTGTTCTCCTCGCAGAACTTCCACTTTTCGCTCGACGGGATATTCGGCGATCTCGCGGGACGGCAGCGATTAGATTTACGGCCGACAGTAGACACAGGCACTCTGGCGTCGCAACCTGTGTCCGACAGTTCGACGATCTTTCTCGTTTCTTTAGGAGTTTTCACGGCGATCGTCGGCGGTGACACGTTGTCCATGAAAAGGAACAAGGGATTTTCTGCGAACATTTCTACGATCGTAACCTGTGCAGCCTAAAGGACATCTGTATCTTGTATTCGAACAAATCACATTGCTGATCGATTTAACTGAACTCAAATATTGTGCTAGTTCACCGGATGTTCTCCGGTTTCGAGCGTTTTACTTGGAATTTTTAGGTGAACCATTGTTCTAGATTCGAGATAATTACTTCGTCGACATTTTTCCCGAACGAATCGACTCTGTCGCCGTCAAGTGTTTGTCGAGAATTCAGATTGAGAATCGATCTTCGGGCGAAACTCTAGCGCGTTAGACAGAGAACGCAACTAGTGAGAGTGTGTGCTAGTTCTCCAATCGGGAGGTCTGACCACATAACGACTTATACCACTTGAGGCAGATCGCCGCTCTCACAATCTTGCCACAATAAGTATTGTATAAGAAAGAATAGTAGGCTCACTCACAATGTCGGCTACTATGATCTCATGACTAATAGTTTCGCTCTAGTTTTAAAGATAAAAAAGTCTTATAC